CATCTTTGATGTTTATCTGTTGACAATATTACCAGTGTTAATATGCAATAATATATGTAACCATTAAAGGTGAAACAATATATGGTGGATATGATATAAAAAAATGTATGATATAAAAAAAATTTTAAAATTATAGTAGTAAAGCTAAACATACTCTTGCTTGTTGAAGACATGCAAGAACACTAAATTCTGCTGGTATTTAACACACAAACAAAATAAATATTAAGCTTTCAGTATGTTTGACTTAAAAAAGAAAAGCCAAGTTCTCAGTGACTTTCAGCTACTCTTGCTGGTCTCTGTGGCAAAGTAGTTAGTCCGTTTACCTCACACTCTGAAGGTTGTGTGTTCATTTCATAGCTGTGTCATTAGGTTCACAGGTGCACTTTTACCGAGATCCCTGGGATTGTTGCTAGAACTACATAGTTTGTGCATTGTTTGATGCTCTCGGCAGGTGGCTAGTCATTGTGCGGAGAGAGACAAAGCCACATGGGATAAAAATTAACCTATCACATACAAGTCAGCCTGTAATGAGGAAAGGTGAATAGTTTTCTACTTCCTTGACATATCTTCTTCTTCTTTGTTCACAGGCCGTAAGCTCCAGTGGAAAGTCCTGTTCGTCCATTTGGACTTTGACTTTGTGCCAGGGCCTGAGTTTTGTGTGTACATCCATTTTACTGGCTTATTCATGTGCAGTTGGCTGTTCCTTGCCATTCGGGCAGATGCACCCTGACTTTGAAGGAAACTCCCATTTAGGTGAAGAGTCTGTCGCTAGGTTTATGTGAAGTTTCTAATTTATCACACCATGTGACAATATCTGCCATTTTTGTAACCAAGACGACATTTATTTCCAAACCTGTAGACTAGCCGGTTTATAGCCTTGAAATATGTCCAAGTAAGAGCCTTGACCAACAGGGGTGATTACTTCAAATGACATGAAGACATCACTACTTCCCCTGACTAAAAGATTTCTTGTTGCTATAATTCCAATCTGAAATCAAGTAAATATATAAAAAATTATATCAGATATGCTTCAATGTCATGCAACAAAATAAGTACTAGGCCAACATTTTAAAAACCAATTGTTTTTGAATAATTATGGCATGAGGATTATGTGTTGGGATAATCCTTATACCTATTTTCAGATATTTGTAAAAACAGAATGACCATATATGGGGTTGTCCAAGTGATATGACATAGTTCTATTAACAAATAACAGTCAACTTCTATTATAAATTATTCTGAAATGAAAGGACAGAGGTTGAAAATACAATTTTTATTTCATGTGGAACTTAGATGAGCTCTATTGCAATTTTGGTTATATACACCATTTCTGGCCTCCGGCATGTCCAAAAAGTGTTATTTACAGGTAATTACTGATCTGGAGCAGTCAGTTTCATGATAAACGTTCTGATCACTACTCAAATTATACTCACATAAAATCGTTTGTAAACACAAATTTTAGAGCATAAAAATAATTTTGACATTTCAAGGCAAAACTTTTGGCCAAGAGAAACATTGGTGCAAGTCAAACTTTACAGGTCACTAAAGACAGTAAAGTTCATAATAGAGACAACATTGCGGATATAGATAAACTATTTCAACAAAAGAAGAAGAGGAAGATTTTGACAGTAATTACAATTTGTTAGCAAGAAAAACAAATCAGTTAACTACCTCATAAGATAAAAAGTTTTTTTTTGGTGTGTTATTTTTTTATTTTTTTATTTTGTGGTCCAAATCCAGCTGTTGTCTGGGGCTCTAACATAACCTAATGGTTGAACTGGGTTTCAGGGGCTTGCGCCCGGTGGTTTGCATCTGAATAGTGACACTTTGTCTTACCGGGTTTCAATTGTTCACTGGGCTGTCCTGATGGGGCTGAACATCAGTCAGTCAGTCATAAATCAGTATTCAAATAAAAGCACAAAATGTCATATAATTTGATTACTAGATTGCAATAAATCTGGCAGATCAGGAGAATACAATAAACAACTTCAGAAAACATTTTCTTGGCAAAGATCACCAATTGTCTTAAATACTATCAAGACATTTTTTATGCTTTAGTAAAAACTGCATGAGAAAGTAACTCCACCTGGACTGAAGCATTTTTCCACAAATCATTCCAGTCTGAGTAACAAATCTTGTGATCGCAAGAGTTGACCAGAGACACCACTGAAAAACAAATACATAAAATGTTTGAACTGTATCAAGAAGCTGTTATTTTAATTCGTTATATCTCAATTAGAGGCTCACTGAGTCACTGTGTGTCAAGACTGGTTGTAGTACCAGAGGGCATTACTGGGGAAAAAAAAAGACCAAAGCTTTAGACCTACGGAGAATGGTGAGCACCTCAAAGAACATATTTACAAGTTAAGAATCCCTCAGCAATTGGAAATCAGAGACACAAGCTAAACAGATCACTGTTCAGGCTCAACTTCAAAACTGAAAAATTAGGTTATGTTTCTTGATCTTGCTTTTCAAGAACATTAGGGGTGTTGCCAGATGCTTTTTGCAACTGTTGATCTTGAAAAAAAATAGTTTTTAGTGTTACAATGATGATGATGATTATAATGGTTATAAGGCTAAAATATATTGGGAAAAAAATTAATTAGACACCACATAAAATGGCATTGATAATTAGTACAAGAAATTACTCTACTGTCTAATGAGTCTCTGGTTTAGATGTTGCCAATGCGCTTTGTAAATTTGAGATACTCATTCAAATACATCAATGGGTGACTTGGCAGCAGAACAGTCTGCATTGATTTTGTCCATGGTATCAATAGCAGACTGCTCACAAGGTAACTGAATTTTGTACTGACTGACTTTCTACCCCACTAGGACATCACACAAGCGATAAACACCCCATGACACAAAGTGCCACCATGTGGATGAGGATCACCGTGGAGAGGTCCCAGAAACCGCATTCAGACAATTGGCCATATTTATGGCCTGCCTATATTGCGGCCCCTGGCAAAAGCCAGGGTGGGGCTTCAAATAACAAAAAATGTCATCCTAAAAAGGACGAAACAGTTGCTATGTATTAGCAATTAACATACCGAATTTTGTATGTAAATTTTTATTGATGATTTGTGTGAAAATGTAATCAAATATGAATTTTAAAACCTAAATTTAGAGCAATTTAAATGTGAAAACTTTTGAAAAAAAATGAGACATGTTAACCTACCTGATGTTTCATTCATATTTAATTTGATTGTCACACAGCAATCAGAATTCTGGTCATCACAAATAACTGGGATTGTTAGAGTTAATCTGATGTACTTCTCAAAATCAATTTCACTCACAGTTACTGGACTTGGCTGAACCTAATTGGAAAATATAACAAAAAATAAAAAAGGTGAGTTCACTCTCAGCTGATGTCTATGTAATGTGATTTCTTCATAGAAAGATCACAAAAGTATAATATCAAGTACTGCAAAAGGTCATTTCATAAGGTACCTATGTCAGGAAATCATTAATAGGTCACATTATAGGTTTAAAGGTTTGGTTTAGGTTTAAAGAATGGATCAACATTATAGCACAAGGGTAGTAACCCGTAAGTTCACCATTCTACTTCTAACTCAAGTCTGAGACTGAAGAATCTCAGCATAGTGCAGTAGCTACGTAGCACCGGCGAGGATCCGGAAATACTCTGGGTAGATTTTTAACTCCAAATTTTGGCCATGCAGCACTGTTAGGCTACTCTTTTTTAATTTCCAACTGCCAAAGGATTTTTTTTTTTTGGGTAACAATACACACGGGCATCCTATCTTACAACCCAGAGACCAGGGGAAGTAACTAAAGTCCACGTGACAAAATTCCAGTCTTCACCGGGGCCTGAACATAGGACCCCCAGCACTCGAGGCAGACGCCATGCCTCGAGACCACACCACCCCTGCAGGTCACATTATAAGATGAGCAAGTGTGGAGAAGCTTGTGACAACAGACAAGAACAAGGGTGTTAAATACATAGGTCACTAGTGGCAAAAACTACAGGATTTGAATTTCAAAGTTAATAAAAGATTATCATTGATTGAAATGATCAATAACATTGAGAATAGACCTTTGTGAAGTAACCTGTATGTGCCTTTCTACATCGCACTTGATTATGAAGTTAACTATCTGCACAAACATTAATGACAAATATGAAATATTACTGGCTCAGAGCCATTTTGCCTCACCCCTAGAATGAAAGAAACCAGTTTTGTGTGTGTTACTGTATTATTGAATTTACTCTGTTTTGTTTTTGTTTTTTTAAGACTCAGTATATCATTGGAAGAATGGAGGTCATCATCATTATACTTTTGTCCTGTTCCCACTCCTGCAACATACATGATAAAGAGCTTCTACTGTTCAGGCATGAATGGAGTTTTTGTGACAGATCTCAACGGTAAGTGTGCTTATGTAGTCTTGTTTGTGCAACCATGCCTTCTGTGGATAAAGGCTTTTTGGCTGCAATGCTTGTTTCATTGTTCATGATTGTGGTTGTCACTAATTTTACCATTCATCTGCATTGACATTTTTTCCGGACATCACTATACTGGTACTTCTAAAACAATGTAAACCACTACTCAGAATGTGGCATGATTTTCCTATGACATGAAAACTTCTTATTCTGCTTCTTCTCTAGTTCTGTTCTGCCTTTTAGTGTCAGGTTATGAAGAGGCATCAGATACAAGCCTTGGTTTATACTACATAGATGTTGGTACTTAAGACTTAGGATATTCCATCTATCCATCACTTACATGGCCAACCTCTTTCAGTTTTGTAATGATTTTTCACTAAACAGACTGCAATCCCTGGGTGTACCAACAGGAGCTGCAAGACAGGAAAACCATGTGAGAGCATGGTGAGTACATCAACCAGAACAGAATGGGATTTTTTAGCCTAAAAACACTTGAAGACATACTCAGGAGAATTATGGAGTTCTTATGGTCATGTCCGATGTGCGATGAAGATGATCTGTAAAATAAACACTAAACAATATTAGTTAATGTAAAACGCACCTGAATCCCTGCAAAGTAAGAACTGCTTGCAACAAACGTTGTGCTGACGTTACTTTCAGAGTACACTAGTCTTGCTTGACATCCCACCTGAAGTAACATGAAAGTTACAAAATGTATCCAGGTTAGTTTAAAACACTCAGGTCACAGCAAATCTTCTTCTTAGTGTTTATCAGCTGTAAACTCTGGTTGAAAGTTCTGGTTGTTCATCCACTCCTGATTTCGGTCATGTTTCAAAACTTGAGTTTTGCATGCACACTTATTTTACAGATCTAGCTTATTTGTATGCAGACTGTTGGTTCCTCATATCTCAGGCAGATGCACTTCAACTCTGAAGGAAACACCCCTATCTGGTCACCTCCTAGGACATGCTTGTGAGGGAGCAGTGGGTATATTCTTTGTTCTCCAAAAGGGAGCCCTGAAACACACTTGGAGAAATTATCAAATAGGACTACAATGTCTGCGAGCTGGACAAATCCACTGGTGCTCAGACCTTCTCTACACAGTTTCTACAAGCGTGGGTTTTCATCAAATGTATATATATTTTTACATTTCCCCCTCTTGAACTGTAACTTGAAACTTTTTACACCCAGTGACTCAAAGAGCCACTGTTTGGATGCTAGTCTAATATAGGCTAATTCCTAGTGTCCAGTCACTTACTCTAGTGTCTAACCACTTACCCAAGTGTCAAATCACTTATTATAGTGTTAAATCACTTACTTTAGTGTCCAATAACTTTCTCTAGTGTGCAGTCACCACCCTAGTGTCAAGTCACTTGCCCTAGTGTCCAATAACTTTCTCTAGTGTGCAATCACTACCCTAGTGTCCAGTCACTTGCCCTAGTGTCCAATCACTTTCTCTAGTGTGCAATCACTACCTTGGTGTCCAGTTGCTTGCCCTAGTGTCCAGTCACTTTCTCTAGTGTGCAGTCACTACCCTAGTGTCAAGTCACTTACTTTAATGTCCAATTGCTTGCCCCATTGCCCAATTGATTGCCTTAGTGTGTTATTTGATCTATTGCCATAGTGCCCAGTCATTTACCCTAGTGCCCAAGTGAATGTCTTAAGTGTAAATGCATGTCATTCTGTCCAATCCCTTACTTTAGTATCTAATTACATGTGCTAGTATCTAAGGTCATGTAATTATTTCCAATCACTCAATTTTGTCCAACGGTATGCTTTCTCTAGTAATCAAATTACTTTCCTTTGTATCAAAGTGCACTACCTAGTATCCAAGCACTTAGCCTAGTATCAAAGAACATGTCCTGGTACCCTAGTATTTAAACACATACCCTAGCATCCAAGCACTTACACTAGTATCCAAGCACTTACCTTAGCATCCAATCACTCACCCTAGTATCTAGATACATGCCTTAGTACTCAAGCACTTACCCTAGTACCCAAGCACTTACCCTAGCACCCAAGCACTTACCCTAGTATCCAAGCACTTACCCTGGTACCCAAGCACTTACCCTGGTACCCAAGCACACAACACCCTAGTATTGAGACACATACCCAAGTTCCCAAGCACTTACTCTAGTACCCAAGCACTTACCTTAGTACCCAAGTGCCCCTGCAAGTGTCTGCCATCAAGGACAATGGTTCTGTTAGAACCTTTGATGACAAGAGGAGGAGAGGCAGGATTCTGTTGGCCATTGAATGTCCAAGCCACTTCTATTTCTTGAGAATCATCTGTATTGCTGTAGATGACCTCACACTGGAAGACAAAAGACTTGTTGGCATGGAGGATGGGTCCTGTAAGTACTGGTGATGTCTGTCATGGAGGGAAAAAAGAGTAGTCCAATTTTACGATTTCACTTAAAATGTAATTTGCTCTGTGCATTTTGTCAAACAGCTAGAAGCTGAAAAACTTTGAACATTAGTACACTCATGTTTTATTTTAACTCTTTCTGTCCTAGGAGGTTTAGCATCAGAAGCCCTGGGGGTTAAGCAACAGAGGCCCAGGAGGTTTAGCATCATAGGCTCAGGAAGTTTAGCAACAGAGGCCCTGGGGGTTTAGCAACAGAGGCCCAAAGGGTTTAGCATCAAAGACCCATGGTCACAAACCTAGGGGATTCAGCATCAGAGTCCCAGGGGGTTAGTAAACGAAGCTCAGGGAGTTTAGCTTCAGAGGCTCAGTGGGTTTAGCATCAAAGACCCATGGTGTTAGCATCAGAGGCCCAGGGGGTTTAGCATCAGAGGCCCAGAGTGTTTAGCATCATAGGTCCAGAGGGTTTAGAATCAGAGGCCTAGAGAGTTAAGCATCACAGGCCTAGAAAGTTTAGCATCACATGCCTAGAGAGTTTAGCATCACAGGCCTAGAGAGTTTAGAATCAGAGACCTAGAGAGTTTAGCATCACAGGCCTAGAGAGTTTAGCATCACAGGCCTAGAGAGTTTAGCATCACAGGTCTAGAGAGTTTAGCATCACAGGCCTAGAGAGTTTAGCATCACAGGCCTAGAGGGTTTAGCATCACAGGCCTAGAGAGTTTAGCATCACAGGCCTAGAGAGTTTAGCATCACAGGCCTAGAGAGTTTAGCATCACAGGCCTAGAGAGTTTAGCATCACAGGCCTAGAGAGTTTAGCATCACAGGCCCAGAGGGTTTAGAATCAGAGACCTAGAGAGTTTAGCATCACAGGCCTAGAGAGTTTAGCATCACAGGCCTAGAGAGTTTAGCATCACAGGCCTAGAGGGTTTAGCATCACAGGCCTAGAGGGTTTAGCATCACAGGCCTAGAGGGTTTAGCATCACAGGCCCTAGAGGTTTAGCATCACAGGCCTAGAGAGTTTAGCATCACAGGCCTAGAGGGTTTAGCATCACAGGCCTAGAGAGTTTAGCATCACAGGCCTAGAGGGTTTAGCATCACAGGCCTAGAGGGTTTAGCATCACAGGCCTAGAGGGTTTAGCATCACAGGCCTAGAGAGTTTAGCATCAGAGGTCCAGGTGTCTTCACTCTGTTGTCATATTCTGCAAGGCATCTGTGCCCTTACAAATAGTTTTTCTGTATGCAATATGATTTAATTTCTGGTTCCACTCCTCCCTGATGACAGAATTCTCAAACTCATTAAGGATCTTTTGGGGTTTTTTTTTTTTTTTTTTTAGTATTTAGAAGCCATGAGTTGTTAACCCTTAGGCTCGGTATTATGGATATCGCAACCCTTCGGCCTTGATTCCATGATAAATACCGTAAATCTGGGAGAAATGTGGCTTTTCTGCCTACCCCCAGGCGTGAACCCGGACCACAACGAGTTAATTACCCGGTCACTGCACAGTCCGGTTTAGCCAACTACGCTAGAAAGCCGGGCCTTTTAGGGTTCAAACAACCTGAACACTAATGATCATCATTCTACTGTCATTTAGGGCTCACAGACAATTCCTCTATTCTGCTCTTCTTCTTCTTCTGCCTTCTATCCCTCTATGAAACTTAGGCACTGAACCGGCTCACACAAAGTTTTTCTAATCCTTGACTTCTGCATGCAGCTTACCCCTTGTCCTCCCCATCCTTTTAACTTCACTCTCTAGCTCCCGTCTCCAAGTGTTTTTGGTCTGCTTCTCTTTCTATGCCCCTGCAGGTTCCACACCAACTGGCTTATCACAACTGCTGTTTCCATCACCAATTAATTGCAATAATAGTAGTGATGACTGTGGTGCTGGCACCTCTGGCAGATGCCTTATGTATCTGACCCATGTGCAAGGTGTTGGATCTGGCAATGACTGTTATATGTTTGACTTTTAAAACTGGTGAGTGATGGGCAGGTTGTGTGATTTTCACTGGCACAAGAATTTAGTAATTATATGGTGACCCATTTGTGAATGAACTTGGAAAAATTGACGAAGAGCCTGAAAGCCTGAATTAACAAACATAATATATACCTGGATTCCAGAAAAGTTGTGTTGCTTGCCAGGTATCTACTGGGACTGCTTTCATAACCGCGGTAGTAAGATCTGACTTGACAGCCAACCTGTCAACAACAACAAATGTATATCAGAGACTGCTTTTCTACTTATGTATCTGTTGTCTAGTTGCAGGGACATTGAGAAAGTGAGAAACCATAGAATATTCTGTGTACACATAATATGTATTAGAGAGAGAAGAAAAAGGGAAAGAAAGTAGAAGAGTGAGAAAATAAATTAAAAGATACAGGCTAAAAAGGCTACATACAGGCTAATAAAGCTACATACAGGCTGATAAGGCTACAGACAGGTTAATAAGGCTACAGACATGTTAATAAGGCTACATACAGGCTAATAGTAATAAGGCTACGTACAGGCTGATAATAATAAGGTTACATACAGGCTAATAAGGCTACATACAGGCTAATAAGGCTACATACAGGCTAATAATAATAAGGCTACGTACAGGCTGATAATAATAAGGTTACATACAGGCTAATAAGGCTACATACAGGCTAAGATTCTAAAATCAATCATATAAATAAATTATAGTTAGAAGGTAAATTCTAGCAATAAAATTAATTCATAAAAAAAAATTTATTAATAAAGTTCTATAAATGTATGATCCTTCATTGGCTTCACATTGTTAGTTACAATACTTGAACTACATGAATTAACATAAACCTCTGCACACAAGTCAACCTGATGTACATGTTGACCTCAATATTTTTTAGCATAAACCTGTTTATCAGGCCTGAATTTATCTATTTACTTTTATACCCACCATATGAGTCAGCTCCCAGTTTCATAAATTTTTGTTTCAAGGCTTAAAAAACACACACACAATTTACTGCACATTATTGCTACATAATCAAAACAATTACATACATAAAAAAATTTAGTTGCATGTCCAAACCCAGGAATTTTTTTTTTACTGTTTGTGATTTGTTGATGCAATTTGATGTTTAGTAGTTTGCCACTGCTTTCTCAATGGTCGGCTCTTGGTATCATTGTCGAAACCAACACTAGGTGGTCTGCTGATAAATCACCCACTGCTAGATCCAACTTGGTAACTTTGGGTTACAAAGGGCATTTGCAACACCACAGACACTTACATATATATATATATATATATATATATTTAATCATATGATATATATTTTAATTTTTGTTTTCTGTTCACACAAAAGTAAAAACAAAACCTTGCATTCATTTTCGGGTAATATGCTCAAAACACATATCAATGGAAAACTTTACAATGACTGTCAGTAACAACAACAAAAGTGAGGATGGTCAATGTTGGAGTGAATTCATTCAAAACAAATTTGTTTAACAACATTCCATTTCATAATGGGAACAAGCGTTAAACGTTTCACAATAGCTATTTATGATAAATTCACACTCACATTTGTGTCTACTAGAGCTTTCAGTAATGCGATGTCCAAGGTTACAGTCCGATCCAGACCAGAGAGCAAGTGAACCGGCAGTGAAGGATGTGGTCGTCCATTACATGTCCACATCACTTCAAAAAGCTGTTCAGAGTCGTAAAGGTCATAAACAACCTCACACTGGAAGAAGTTGGATCCATTGACATGAATGTAAGGCCCAGAAAACTTGGGTGGTGTATCCAGGAGTGGGGTACGATCTGCTCAAAATGTGACAAAACATATATATATATATATATATATATTTATAGTTGATAAGTACTAAGTACACAAAACACAATTTTTTTTAAATGCACAAAAGTTAATAAATTCACAAATGTATTTAACTCTTTAAGTCCTGAAGAACGCATCATGCGTTTATAGGTTACAACCTAGATGCCCAATGAACGCATGATGCGCCGATTTTACGTCTCTTTTGACTACCGCTTGGGCCTGTGATGCTATACCCTCTGGGACTCAAAGAGTTAAAACCAAGAAAATTTGTGTTGTTTTGTTTTTGTTTTTCATAGCCGTAGTATTGTTGTTGCATGCTTACAACAGTTTTCTTACCACAATACTCATTTTGTCACTCTTGATTCTATTTTTTTTAAATGATGGCTTGCTCTACCTTTTTTATTGTGATTGATGTTTTCATTATTTTTTTATTTTCAATTTCTATGTTTTATATCTCTCTTTTCAATTATGTCTTTATCTTCACTGCCTGCTAAAGATAGGAGCAATGTGCTGGTAAGAATTTCCCAGGTGCTTTGATTTATGTTTTTGAAGCTATTTAACTGTTTTTTTTTAAGTTAAAAAATGATAATGTTAAACAAATCTAAATAAGATGGATAAGAATCTGATCTGTCTTTTGTAAAAATGTCTCTGTTGACTAGTATGCTCACCGAGAATCAGGCCTAACGATGATACTAACTCTCAGGAAAAAGGGATTGCAACAACAGCAAGTATTTAGAGAAAGCACACAGATATGCACAAAAATAAGTGTATGACACTGTTAACTCACCTTGTTCACTTCTTATTATAGTCCATTGTGAGTTGCTTTTGGTGACATCACATGTTCTATTTTCACTGAACTTGTCAATATCTCCATCCTTATAGCAGATGTTGTTGATATGGCAAGCTGTGATCTACAAATATTTCACAGACCAATTAAAAAAAATGTGATTACTATTGAACTATGCTTTCAGAGCTAAATTTGGACACTTTAAATTCTCTAATGAACACAGAATTGTGACAACAGATGAAATGTCTCGGAAGAGCTGCAGGAAATTTAAGGAAAGACAGAACATGAAATCACAAAATCAGACGAATGCTAGAAATAAAGCCTGTCTTACAGTTCATAAAGAACAACAAATGAAGTGGTTTGGACACCTAACAAGAATGCCCTGGTACTATCTACTACAGCGAGTATAGAGCGAGCAGAAAACCTTAAAAAAAAGACGAAGTGATGGCATTAAGAACAGCTTTACAGAAAGGAACATCAATCTTTATAGTGCTCTTGACAGAGCTTATCAACAAACATTACATCTCCCCCTACTCCATTCCCCCCCCCCCACCCCACCCCACCCCCCCCCCCTTCCCTGACACTTCACTGAGGTACAAGCTGGAATAGAAAAAGAAGAAGATTATTATTGAATAACTTAGTAAAAGAAAAAGTATATTTTCAAGCCTCATCTGTAACTATATATATATATATATATATATATATTATATATATATATATATATATACAGGCAAAAACTGCATTTTATCATATAAAAAACATCTTGTGCGATATATCCTTGTCATTGAGAGTTAGAAAAAGAATTCTTGCTAGCTACATACATCCATTTTTAACATATGGATGTGAATCCTGGACAATCGGTAGGCAGGCCAAACAATTTTTAGAGGCCTCAGAGATGTGGTTTTACAGAAGAATGCTTAGAATACCTTGGACAGCCAAAAAGAGCAACCAAGACGTTTTAAAAGAGGCAGGAGCCCGAAGACAACTTATCACAGACATCAGAAGGAGACAGTCATCATTTTTCGGCCATGTTATGAGAAGAGAGAAAATAGAACATGTTGTGACCACTGGAAAGATCTGTGGAAAAAGGGATAGAGGAAGACAACGAGAGAAGATGCTTGACAGTCTTGTTGCATGGCATGGAGGTGTGTCGGCACCCGAACTGATACATGCTGCAGGAGATCGCAGATTATGGAGAGCCATGATCGCCCACGCCAGTCGGCAAGGCACCTGATGATGAAGATGATATATATCATTTATTGGGGGAGGGGTTTGGTTTTCAACATTACAGCTCTATACACAATTGATTTTTCTGGTTAAATTGCTGTCAAATTGCTAACAGTATTAGGATGAGGCATTTGAGTATCAGCAAATATCCTAAATAGTTAAACAACAAACAGCCAAATACCTGCTACCACAAAGGAACATATGCTCAATCAAAAATACTCTTTCTTAATTAATTAATTAATTAACACTACTATAGCAAAGATCAATTTACTAAAACATAAGGCATATAACAGTCAAATTCTAAACTAATGGTTACTTGTCACTTGAAACATTTTGTAATACAAAAGTTTAATTACAGTGTACAAATAATTGATTTCAAAACGTCTACAGTCATTAAACATGTATATAATATCTCTCTTTTTTTTATTAGGTTGGGTCTCCGGGTGAAGGGGTCAAGCCATTTATTTCACACTTTTAAGATCATGCGTTCACTTCATGAGGGCATCGTTCAGTTTACAAGTACAGTTTTCCCAGAGAACCCTGGGGGATTGTCACTGAAGCTATAAAGTTTGTGGTTTGTGCAACTCTCTTAACAGGTGTTGTCACTGGAACTAAAGAGTTTGTGCTTTGTACAACACTCTTAACAGGTGGCTAGGCACCCTGCGGAGAGAGACCAACTATATTTACCAGGTTTCAGTTGTGACTAGTTGGCAGTAAATGTAACCAAAATTATACAGCAAAACAGGCTTTAAAAAGGATTATTCAAACAAATAAAATTCTGCTTGTTCTTCTTCAACATTCCGAGCCCTTGAAGTTATTTCTGCAGATATCGCCTGCCCGCATCTCTCTGGTTGGCCTTCTCTTTCCAGCTGGCGAATTCAAACATATGCAGGTCTGTCAGGATGTTATCTCTTCATGGTTTTTTTGGTCTGCCTCGTGGTCCAAGATCATTCAGTCCCCTTGTATATAGTTTTTACCCCTCTGTCATCAGAAATTCTATCATTATGCCCTACCCATTTCAGTTTATTATATATATGATGCCAGTGATCAGTACTGATTTCAGTAAACTACAAATATTGTTATTGCTTCTCCTTCTCAAGTACCTACTGTTGGCATCTTTGATGGGCCCAAAGAAAACAATGCTTCATCTATTTTAGCTGTGTTCCAAGTTTCAGAGCCATATAAAACAACTGGTCTTATCAATGTTTTATATTTTATCTTGGTGTTACGAGAAAGAGACTTTTATTTCAGCAGATTTTGTAGAACATAGTATTAAAATTGTCAGCATAAAAAAGAGCTAAGGAATATACTCACCTTTACTTTGCACCCTGAACGATCACAGTCCAAACAAGTGCCATCAAAGACCCTCAGTGAGACATCATTGCCAAATATTAGCCCATCTTTTGTGGCAGAAATGTTGTATCTTTGTGTGGACGGAACTGAGAAGAAATAAAAACCACCAAATATTTTTTTTTTAAACTACAGTAAACTATTTTACTGTTCTATATGGATTTCTTTCTTTCTTTTTCTACCCATATCCCCTAGTGGTGCATAGACCCTTGACAACTTTGTAACAGTTCATCCTATCCTTTGTTCTCCTTCTCCACCTATTCATCCTCTTTCTCTTCCACTGCTGCCTCCTCTGCTGCTCCCTGCTCTGCTGCTACCTCCTCCTCCACCACTGCCTCCTTCTCTGTTTTTTCTTCTTCTTCTGCAAATTCTCCTCTCATTAGTATGACAGGAACTATTCCCAAAGTGATGACAATAGGGTTGACTGTAGTAGAGCTTGTATAAATGTATTCACTGAAGACAATGACAATGAAGCTAAAAAAATCAGTTGGAAGTAAGGGGGAAAAAGATGGAGGGGGGGGGGGGGGGGGGGGGGGGGGACTGTTATGGTGGTGGATGGTACCTAGGATTTCTTATCTTGTCCCTCTCTTTAATAAATGCTTTAGCCAAATGCCAAAGTTGTCTTATTTTGTTTCCCCTATCAATCTGATTGTATGTTGACTTGCGTACTCTCTGAATATTAACATTGGTCAGATTTCCTGGTCTTATCCTACTGGAGACCTTTCCATCCATACCATATTGATCTATTCATGCTTCTGAATTGTTCAAATGCTCCCAAAGGGCCTTGGCAAAATGAGCTTGTCATTGTACAACTGTGGTGGATGATATTAATAATGGTTCTGATCATGATCATACTGACAATGGTGAGAATAATGATGACCCCAGTGTTGTCACTTTTGCTGTTGATGATGGTGATGATGATGATGATGGTAATGGTGTTAGAGTGGTATATAACATACTGAAAAAGAATGGCAATGGTGTCATAAGGATACACAACGTACAGAAATGATGATGATGATAATGACATAAATTGCTGCTACAGTAGCAGACAACAAATCAAATGGTTTGACCATGTAACAAGACTGGCATCAGACAGGGCACCACAGACAGAATGTTATACAGATACAACAATAACAGGTCCAGAGGTCAACTATGGACCACAGAAATATCAGAGATACCTAAAATGTATTTTAAACGAAGCGAACAGAAAGGCCCATTCCATAAATCTCTTCCTGTACTGACGCCGTGAAATATTCCAGGAGTAGAGAAAATTACAAGAAGAAGAAGCAATTGGCTGCTGATGGAGATGACAGTGATAGTTACGAAACTAGTTTTGCCCTAATGATCAAGTTGCAATGAGATTAATTAGGAACCAACAAAACAACAATCAGGACATTTCCATACATGCTCTGTCCTCATCATCAGCATTTAACAAAGAGTTCTACATCTTACAGAACCCGTAACAGTTTGATTACATGCCTGTCTTACCTTTTCTATGAGTGTAGAAGGATAGACAAAATCCCCAGACAAATGTATGTTATAATATTCTCACCAAACCATAATAAATACCCAATCCTGATGAAGGCAATGATGGGAATCAAGGTAGAATTAATACTAATGATAACAACACTAATGATTGGCCTAAAGACTAATTTTGCTTTTACCTCTGCAGCTAATAATGAATGAATGAATTTCTACCCCACCAGGACATCACACAAGCGATAAACACCCGATGACACAAAGTGCCACCATGTGGATGAGGATCACCGTGGAGAGGTCCCAGAAAAGTTCAGACACTTGGCCATATTTATGGCCTGCCTATATTGCGGCCCCTGGCAAAAGCCAGAGTGGGGCTTCAAATAACAAAAAATTACTTCCTAAAAAGGATGTAAGAATATATTATTTCTAGCTAATAATTGTGATGATGATAGGAACAAGCACATGAAAACATTCAATGGGGAGGTGGGAAAACAATATTAAACTGAACCAACCCAGAGCTGGCAATGTGCAGGAAATGGTTGTTGGTGTCAGGAAGCTTGCTGGTTTCAAGACTGGAGAACCTACACTGTTTCCTTGCTCCTGTTGGGAGATAGGGAAAGGAAAATGTATGTCCTATGTGATGGTGTTATTTATTATATAAATATTATCATGAACAGCTGTGGTCAAAGGGTTGTATAGGCAAACATTTAAAAAAGGGGGGGGGGGGAGATATATATATATATATATATATATATATATATATATATATATATATATATATATATATATATATATATATATATATATATATATAGATATAGAGAGAGAGAGAGAGAGAGAGAGAGAGAAGAGAGGGAGAGAGAGAGAGAGAGAGAGAGAGAGAGAGAGAGAGAGAGAGAGAGAGAGAGAGAGAGAGAGAGAGAGAGAGATGTCAGAGACAGAAAGAGAGAGAGATATGGACAGAGGTGTACTAAATAATCAAGTACCAACATGTATTCCACTTGTCTTACCATTATAGTTTTATAAACAAGGATAGCAACAGATAGAGACACAGAGACAGTAAATCATAAAGACAGTGAACAGATAGACAGTACTTACATCTATTGCCTGTATTCTGCAGGTTAAAGGATTTCCGAAAATGATGTTAGTAACATCAATGTTGATAATATCACATTTCATTTGGCTGATGTCACATAGCTCTCCACTGTCGAAAATTTAAGAAATTAAACTGTTATTAAAAAAATGTGACAGCACTTGAAAATTAAAAAAAAAAAGTTTAATTAGTCAAACATTAAAAGAAATTAAAAGTGAATAGTGATTAATGAGGACTATTATCACAGCACTCCGGACGGATCCATAGCTGCTCCCATCTCATCCTAAGTCTTCCCACATGGGTAAAATGACTGATCATGCCTGTTCTGTGTTGATTAACTAGACCTTGGTGAAATGTTCATATCTGGCTACTCCAGGCTGAACGCCCAGCTCCACCAACGTGGACAAGGATACTGAGCCCTGTTTGCTGTCGTGATCCTCTTTATGATTTGGCAATAATGTCATCATTAATTACTGCAAGGCTACTGACGGTAACTGTCTTGTCTGCCGGATAAGATGAATGCTAATTGCCTTTGCCCTCTCATACCATTATCCAGACAGTCCACCAGGGTATCAAGCCCTGGTACTTGAGGGTTGTGAAAATGTTAAACGCATTCACTAACCTCTGGGCCACAGAGCTATAGTTAAAGCTAGATAGAGGACAAAGAATAATTATCTTTTGAGAAATGTAATAACAACTTTAAAAGCAGAATAGAGCAGATACAATCAGCTTTGTATAGACTAGATTCTTGGATGACAAAAATATCAGACCTTAACACAGTTGCATGACATGGGAGTAAAGCTCGGACAAGCATGTCTATGTCACCTTTGAGGCCAAGATAGGAGACACTGATAACAATCAGTAGAAGTACTTAGAATGGCCGGTGTATCTGAGGATTGATCACACATGAGAATACCCAGTGTGCAGTGAAGTTGATTGTGATAACGTAGCATAAAAGCAGACTCTGAAAGTAGTCCACCAACCATTCAAGCAAACACAGTGGAGGAAAGTGTGCGCGGGCGCACGCAAGCACGCACACACACGCGCACGCACACATACACACACACAAAACTGACTATGAATGATTACACAATTAAAATAGAGATTTTATATCTTTAATTAATGAGAGTCAATAAGGAAGGGGAAAGAAGATTGTACTAGTGTAGAAAGAGTAAGAGTACTTGGTTACGCAGATTACATAAGTATGGTGGGAGAAAATTAACAAGACAGTGAAAAATCGATCCAAAGAAAGCAGCTCAAAAAATTGAATCAGTTATCAGACGAGATAAGACAGTTTACAGAATTTAATGGAGGCAGGTGATATCAACAGCAGTGAACTCCAAGTGGTGGGAATAATGAAGACGTAGAGAATGAAGAGGATAAATAAGAGTTACCTTTTAACTGCTATCAATTGTGGCCCTTTGCCACTTTCAATCAGGCATGTTTCTCCTTCCCATCCATTCTGGCAGATACACTGGCCTTTGTCGGCACACTGTCCATGTTTTAAGCACTCTACTGGACATATATCAATGACGCCTGGCTTGATGACCTGCTGACCGTCAGTGTTAGTGACATAGCTGTCTGGATTCTGTGCCAGTGTAAGCTGACACTGGGATGTGAAGGATGCTGTGACGTCATCTAGAAAGGCTGTTGTACCACCATGCTATAGAGGATCAAATAAAACAGTAAACTTAAACATTTTCATCGCAAAGGACTGCAGGTTACACCTGGTTGGTGCCCCAATTAAAACTTCTTTTGAGACTGTGATCTCAGAATGGTCAAAGTAGCTGCCCAGAGGGGCAAAAACAGAATGAATAAATTTAACAGCTGTGACCCAGAAAGTATGTTGTGCTACTAGGCTATAGAGCAGAGAAAAATAAACACAGAAAAATAAGTCTCTATGGTCTATTTGTAGACCCGGAGTCATTTTGAAATAAAAATTAGTCGCCAAGTTAAAAAAAGGTTGGCCACCACTGCTATAAGCAGATACAGGCAGTAGTAAGAGAAAAGAGAGATGCAGAGTGTCACAACCCTGTGAGTACAGTCAGTGGCGGAATGTACCACATCGTAAGGTGTGCGTGTTGAGGTGACACCCCAGGGTTGACACAAAGGTCAGGGCCGTGACTGGGCAAGTCCGTTCTGTGATTGCACAGCGAAACTAGCGCTCAGGATAAAGCAAGAAAGAGTGTACGATTACAGCTTTTGGGACTGAGCTGGTGAACGGGGTAAAGAGACACGAGGGAGAGAGAACGGGACATTCGGTGTGCGTCGGTCAGGAAGAGAGGACGTTTAGCAAGACAGTTATAGTATTAGAGTTAGGATATTTCTGTTAGTGACTGGATAGTTTATGTACAGTGTTCTGTTAGGATAGGATAGTTCTTGTGTAGAGTATTTATGTACATGTGCTGTGAGAGAATGGCTAACCTAGGCACTCTGACCCTGTGCTAGACAGAGGCTGTGACAGTTTGATTGGGTCAGCGTGGCGATAGAAAAGAAGGTATCTCGCCGGGCTGTGGTTTGTACACCAGGAGATTGCCTGTAGCACGTACTGGGGGACGAGGCGATTGTAAAGCCCGTTCGGCCAGAGGGTCCAGGCAATAGATGGCCACACAGCGGGAAGTCAAATGTCTATGTATTACCTGTACTTCCAATAAAGATTGTCGTGTGTGCTCTGTGTGCGTTTGGGTTCAGTGTGTGTTAAAGGTTAGTCTGTCTGTCATAGGCCCAGTTACGAGCCACGGACCAGCAAGTTCACCCAGAGGTCTGTGACAGATTATGGGAGCGTTCGTCCTTGGGAATTGAATCTAGAGTAGTAGCTAAATAGGAATAGTTGTCCGCGTTAATTGTGAACCCAATGTGCTTGTCTAAATAGGAGACATAGATTAGTTTGTATGTTTAGCTGACTGATTTATTTTTCTTTAAGTTTTGTCGTTCACTATTGTAGGGCTAACGTGATTGAGTTAATCCCTTAATTTTGATGTTGCTATCGAGTAAGTTTGCGATGGCGTTGCTGAGTTAACTCTCTTAAATATTGCATCGTTGTCCAGACAAATAGAGACAAATAGAACACAGAGACTGAGAGACAAAAGATTTATTTAGAAAATAAGAAAATGAGTATGTATTCACTCCTGATTGCTTTCAGTTCTGATCAATTCACACTTCGGCTTAACTTCTCTGTATTACAGAGGTACAATCACATTGCGTTGATACCCTATGATATAAATCCATCAGTGTACAGCAACTAACTGGTTGTTGCCTAATGAGCCTCCTCACACACTTGATCTTCTTCTCCTTTCTGATCTTCAATCAAAGTTCACATTCTGACAGTCTGTTTTGATTCATTCATTATGTCCTTTCTTGCCTTTCCTTACCCGAGACAGCAGAAGAAACAGAAGCACTAAAACACATGTATGTCTGGCATTAACTCTTTGAGTCCCAGAGGGTTTAGCAACACAGACCCAGGGGGTAGTCAAGAAAGTCATAAATCGGCACATCATGCGTTCATTGGGCTTCTATGTAGGAACCTATGAACGTATGACGCGTTCCTTGGGACTCAAAGAGTTAATTAAATTTTTGTTTTTAAAAATCTGGATATCCGGCATTCTCTCTCTCTCACTCTGTCTCTCTACATCCTCTTTCACCTCTTCATATGTCAAGGGAAATATAAAGTACTGCTTCGTGCTCTTCTTTATGCTTTGACCATAGACACATCGTGGTGCTATAGAGTTTCTCTGATGTTATCTTCCTTTATTGTTTTTGGTATACCTCTTGCTCTACAACCTTCTCCTCTTTTTTTGTATGCTTTGTGTAGTATGGCATCAGAAGGCATTCTCTCCAAGTGAGCAAACTATTTGGTTTGCTGTCTTTGTATGTAATTTAGAATTGGTTCTGTGCCAACTTGATTTAGTATAACCTCATTCCTGATTGTTCTGGTCACTCCGACAGTCTTTCTCAGACACCTTATTTCCATGGTTACTCATTTTCATTTATGATTTGTTATGAGTGACCATGTCTGGCACTAGCATAGGGTGGGAATGAACATGCCTTGTATGAGATGTCTCTTTGTGCTGATCAGGATTGCCTTATGCTGTAAGAGGGGGGCTAACTGTCCCAATACTTGGCCTGCTTTACTGCATCTGACGTTAATTTCCTAATCCAATTCACCATCCTCAGTGAATGTTGTTCCAAGATATTTAAACTCAGATGCCTGTTTAATAAATGTATGCACTAATTCTATATTTAAATTCTGCTTCTTTCTTCCTGTTGACATTACTTCTGTCTTTTATTATGTCAATTCTCATATTATTTGATTTAGATTCTTCATTCACAGATGTGAGATGCTGCTACAAATGTATGGCTTATCTCCAATCAAGGCCTGGTCATCAGCAAAGAGTTATCTGGCATTAACCATTTTTTTTTTCGTTTTTTATACCATTAATTTTCAGATAAAAATTACATACTGAAGTCAGTTAATTTGGCTTACCAAAATGTCTGCCAGGCAGTCAGAAATGACTGAGTCAATTAAGCGTTGGAAGTTCTGGCATTGAGAGTAAAGTGGAGACTTCTGGATGGCTTTTGTACACATGTCTCTTGCTTGAGCTTCAGTAATTCCTTGATCATTCGGCCACTGTTTGTTGGGGTTCACTACTGAAAAGCACAATTAGTACTAATTTGTACAACAAAATCCTATTTAAACCATTTATTTATAATTGCAATAGAGCTATTTATGTATTTTTTTCTATTTCAAATATTGAATAATTATCCTCATCAAATCCTCTTTTCTTTATTTAAATTTGCATACATTATGCATCATTGTAATAGGGTGTAGGAGTATATTTAGATTGTTGTGTGATATATTCTATAATTAATTTTTCAATGAGGTGTCATAATCATAATGTGCAATTTATCTTTTGCCAATATTTTAGTAAACTGGGATAACATTATTCTGTCTAAAGATATACTGACAACTTATACGAAAAAATTTGTTCTTGCAATGTAAGTATTTCTTGTGAAGTTGTGTTTTCTTGCAGTATAGTAAACTGTGCTCAGTATTGGTATGTTTATGGCATTCACAACAGGTGTACTATAAAAAAAAAACGCCATTACAAGTTGCAGTCTTGGTAATTTTCTTTTGCTTTTTTAGTTCATTCATTATTTCCTATTTTCTAGCTGAAGTTCTTTAACAATCCGTATGCATGTCTTCCCTTCAGGCTTTCAGTCTGCTTCCCTGTCCATTACTGTGTTTTTTATTTTTTTTTTACTGATGAAAATCATTCTTACTTGTAATTAGCTACATGTTTTTTATTATTATTTCTTCCCCCTTTTTTTGCTTCTCTGTCACCTTTTTAGTCCCTTCATTTGTTCACATGGAAAACAACAACAACAACTCAAACAGATAACAACTGATAACTTTACAAGAGAAATGTGACAAATTTGCACCAGAAATTTTTAGTTTCTTTAATCAGTTTTTGCTTTTCATCTGTTTCTGAGAACCCTCCTTTATTTTTCTATGTCCGTGAATTTCTTTGCATCTTCTTAGTTTATGTTCTATATAGCATGTTTACATTAGTTTACACTCATTGCAATTGATAAGCTTCAATCGCTACATTTTCAAACTTGCAGAAGGTTACTAACAGTAATAACAGACTAATGGTGCTGTCGTTATTACCTTGAGCTATTTCTGGGTGGACAAAAGGTGGGTCTGGCTTGTGGGTCCCAGGTCTGACCCAGCCTACCCCAACTACATAAGATGGTGTCAGCATATTTGTGATCACTGGGCAGTTAGGACACTAGGGAAATACAAAAACATAAAAGTACACTTCAAGCAAAGATGTAATTAGTATATTTTTATGTACATATGTTAAATCAAAAGGCCTTTTAGCACTTCAGTTATCATTTTTGTTTTCATTTTTTTTTTTTATTGTGATTTCAAGCGGTCAAAATGTAAGTGGCAAAAAACATACTAATATGCATTATGCCTCACTTTATTTCATGCTGTTGGTCAATCAAACTGATTCACATTTTGAAGTTCAGAATCCTGAGAATTGCTGCAGTGATGCTTCAGTTATTCAAACCATTAGTTAAAATTCTAGACACTTCTGCTCTGATGTATTTTATTCATATTCCATAAGTATAGCAGCTTAACTCTTTGAGTCCCAAGGAACGCTTCATACGTTTATAGGTTCCTACCTCGAAGCCCAATGAACGCATGATGCGCTGATTTTATTACTTTCTTTACTACCCCCTGGGCATGTGATGCTAAACCCCCTGGGACTCAAAGAGTTAATAATCAAAGCATCCGGCTCCATTAGGCTTGACAGTAACAAATGTTAGGACACGCTCAAGAAGACGAAATGTGGTAGAATCTCAAAAGAAATCCCCTGTGATCAATTACAGATTGGTAGAAGTTGTTGAGGTCAACCTTTACTATAACATAAAGATGGTGGCAAGTGGGGCACGACTGGTACATATATTTGTGCATGTATATTTCAGCACTGATCACAACCAGAGGGGTGCACTTTAGGACTTCTCCAGCTTCCTCTACCTGTAGCAAAGGAAGAGGCCATGTTTACAAAAGGAAATAGCCTGTAGAAAATGACTATTGCTTGCAGAAAAGAAATAGACTATACTTGTAACAGACAAGTATGCTGGTAACAAAAGAACAGACAATATTTGTAGAACAGGAAACTAATTACTGTGTAATGACAAGAACTAAATTACTACGAGTACATCCTAGGTACTTATTAGTATTTATTTTATGGGATTCAATAAATTAACCCCAGATTGGTATTGTTATCAAAATCATATTCTAAGTAAGGAATGTACCCCCCCCCCCCCCTACCCCTTTTCCACTCACTACCGCCCACATGTAGTCTTGGGTGCACCATTGTGGGAGATAAAAGAAATAGACCCCCACCCCAACCCCCCTACAACACAACAAAATTGTTATTAAAGTCTAATTGGTGGTGTTTCCTCTGCAGTCAGAGGCATCTGTTTAAGAGGCACTGAACCATACAGATGTGCCAGATCTGTAAAATGGATATGCAAGCAAAACTCAAATGCTGGAAAAAGACAAACCAAAACTTTCCAATGGAATTTACAGCTGGTAAACATGAAGAAGAAGAAGAAAAAGAAGAAGAAGAAGAAGAAGAAGAAGAAGAAGAAGAAGAAGAAGAAGAAGAAGAAGAAGAAGAAGAAGAAGAAGAAGAAGAAGAAGAAGAAGAAGAAGAAGAAGAAGAAGAAGAAGAGAAGAAGAAGAAGAAGAAGAAGAAGAAGAAGAAGAAGAAGAAGAAGAAGAAGAGGAAGAAGAAGAGGAAGAAGAAGAGGAAGAAGAAGAGGAAGAAGAAGAAGAAGAAGAAGAAGAAGAAGAAGAAGAAGAAGAAGAAGAAGAAGAAGAAGAAGAAGAAGAAGAAGAAGATGGACCCCCCGCACTAGCAAATAAATATACAAAGCAAGGCAACAAAATAAAGAATAATTATATTATCTAGAATCTTCCAGTATGGATTCCAGTATTCAGTCTAAAATATGACAAGACCTGACATTGCTGGTATCAATTTCTAGAAGATCAACACTTCCTAAAATGTCTTACTGCTGTATTTGCTGTCTGAACATGCTCCCTTGCTGAGCAGGAGACTGTTGCAGTTCCATTAGTATTGTCCAGGCATGAGCAGTACCGACCAAATGATCCATTGGTAGATTCTGTATCATTTACTGGATCTGGGACAACTTCGAATAAACTGTTATTACCAGTAACCCTGTAAAATAACAATAGGTATCTAAGTAGCATTTTTAACTACATATGATTATATATTAAAAAAATCATCAATCAGTTATCTCAAGTTTGAATTATTATTATTATTACTGTACAAGAATCAAAGCTTAAGGGGAATGTTGTATTACTCCTAGAACCTATCTCGACTCCAAACCTACAAGAGCTCCAACAACGTCGTGGCTAGTAGAAGCAATTCCACACATAAGCTGCCTCAGTAACAAGAAAAAAAAAAGATAAAAAGTTCGTAAGGCGAGGGTCTAAGACCAATAGTGTCTTAACCCAGACAGTAATGTTCTGTATGAAGTCTAATCAGTAGTAACAGTAAAACTAGGCATACTAACCACAAGTCCTAACCTGAATCAAAACAACTGGAACTGTAATTATCGCACTGAACATCTGTTTAAATTACTGAACACACAACTAACATTGCTTCATAAATAACAAATTATTAACAACCAATGTCACGTTCACACACATGTGCTAAGCACTTCATCTAACAAAAGTGATAATTTACTTCTAGTGACACAAAATGAAATATCTCCAAGTGATGATTCACATCTGAAAACATACCACCGAAATGAAGCCAGCCAGACAAACCTATCTCTTGCTCAGCCTAGTCTTCCCCATCTGTGCTGCGGACCACATGCGGCTGTACAACCACAAAGCGACTGACTGGAGCCCAAGGCGTTTTCATAGATAATGTGACATAGCTGCCAGATTTTTCCACATGTGCAGTCAAACAAAAATTAATAGCTTGCTGCCACCGGGCTACATTTTTATAACCTTATTTAAACATTATCACAACTTTATTGTTAAAAACCCACACATATATTAGATTGAGATTTGTCTTCTTAAAAAACAAAAATAAGTTGCAGCTCTACACCAAACTGTGTATAAAACAAGGTGTCTGTTACAGTAGTGCTAAAAAAATGCCTTTAATTAAAATAAGTCTCAGTATTGGAAAAAACAACAACTGATAAATGTGTTGACATGTGTGGTAACTGACTTTTTCACCCCTTCTCACGCACCCTACAGATGCATACAAATAAACAACAAACAGACACAGGGTCACTTTTGTATTTGCTTACTTACATATAGTAGTAATTTAAATTCCCTGTGTGGATTACAGGGCCCCATTGTGGGGAAAACAAGAATAGACCCCCTGCCTCCCCAACAAAACATGTTGTACGAATTGACTAACTTCAAAGTCAGAGTGCATCTGCCTGAGAAGCAAAGAATCAAAAGCCTGCATACAAATAAGTAAGATCTTTTAAACGGAAGTGCACACAACACTTAGGTTCTGGAACAAGACTAAAGTCAGAGGTTGATGAAGAACCCAAACTTTTCTGTCAGAGTTTATAGCCAGTGAACGCGAAGAAAAAGAAATAACAATATCCTTTAGACTCAGCCAGGTCATACTTTGGATATGTATAGTTTTTTTTTCTGTTTGAACTGGATATGTATGCCTATCCATTATGTTATTCAATATTGCATAATTTATGTAACAATTGTATACAGAATGTAGGAGTATATATTGTCAAGTTCAATATATTTTAAGTGTACTTTAAAAGAAGTATAGTAATTACATTGTATAGTCTATATCTGCAGATATTTAAGGTCATCAGGGATACCGCTATTCTGTCTGAAGATATAATAACATCTCATCTGCCACCCCCCGCTCTTGTGATATACTGTATAATCCTTTCCTGTAGTTATCTAGAGCCCTCTCACCCACCCCCACTCCTTATTTCACCATCATAACTCTCGAACACACAGACACCCACGACAGCACAAATCTGATAAATTAGTACCTCCACGACTCAAAAAAAGCATCAGGAATACATCTTTGAGTGCAAGCAGGTTCAACTGTTCCATCTGGATGTGTGAAATCGTTGTCTGTTGGATCGAAACATTCGGGTTAAAATATTTTTAAAGAGACTGACTTGCACACACAAAAAATACAGTGTCTGGGTCTTCAGCTGGACTTTGTTGACACTGAAATACTCCAAATCTATGGGACTAACATATGCCTAATTTTACAGGTCTGTATTAAATCTTGATATGGAAATCCACTTGATTTACAATCTATGAGAAGTGTAAAAAGAGCTCATCAAGACAGTCACTACAAATATGGTGTTGTGGTACCATTAGTGCACTACTATCAACAAAAGTCTCAAAAAACACAACATATTTGGCAAACTTTACAGTAATATGTTGAATAGAAGTGGTATACCCCCTGCAGACAAAGCAAAACATGTACAGAGCAGAATTGGCTATCATTGTCTTATTAAACAAGTTAAATGTTGACAATGTACCAGTGCTATGCAAAGAAACTGAAGCTTTCCTCTTTAAATTTTCCCCATCTAGGACTGCACAGTGGAAGAGTAACAGCCAGTGACTCAAAGAGAGACTATTTAGATGAGAATCAAACATAAGCAAATTCCAGAAATACCATTTAACCATACAGTATAGTTATGCACTTGATGGTTACAAAGTAACCCGCACTCCATTGTGGGTTCCTTAATGAGTACTGAAGTTCAACTTGTCTGGAAACTGAATCACAGTTCAGTAACCTAAAAATGTATGTGAATTAAATAATAAGACATACTTCTGAACACTGTTGTTCTCAAAAAGACATCTGCTGAGTATCCACAGGATACTGACAGAATATCAGATTTTCTAGGCTAGTCACGTAGCCCATATGACACCAGTGACATACAGAGTAATAGAATACAGAGGGCCACAAGAACTGACACTTCCAGCATGGTCAAATTTCTGCGTAAATGTAACTTATCTAGCTTGCCTATAGTTAACTGTTTACAAGATGCATAGTTAATGAATATGAATACATTGACTTAGAGAAAAAAAAAGCACTTAGTTAGGGGAAGTCTTTTGAGTGAAGCTCCTGTTTAAAGCTAAGCTGATGTAAAATTTTTCTTGTAAACCTTAGTGATAGTAATGGGGTCACAGCATAAGTCCACCGATACATGTCTTGTTTAAGATCTGGAGAATTTTTTCCTTGAAATGCTTCCCTTGTTTGTGTTTATGATTACTTTTTACATATATCTGTATATATTGTGGAAAATTTGAAAAATGTAGATAATTTTTTAAAAACAAATTTACTGGTGACCTGTGAAAAATTGCTTAGGTTTTTAAAGGATATTACTCTGAAATTCCAACAGGGTTGTGATCCCATTTTTGTTTTGTAGTGTTTTGGTTTGAGAGAGTTGAAGAATATGTACTGGAAGAAAAATAATTTTTCAATCAATACACAGATTATGAAATGACTCAATTACATTAATTTCTTCGTGATCATTAAAAGTTGAATGCTATTCCTTCTAACCAGATACTCAAGAAAACAAACACACATACCTTCAACACCATCATTAGTGCCACAGATGCCTCTGCCTTGTCCTTTGTCAAATGCCGGAATGGAAATGTAGACATTTGTCCCACCAGCCTCTATTTTCACCTCTGATCCGGAAGGAAGGTAGATCTACAACAAGAGGATACAGTAAGCTGGTACACCATTTTTCAGCTTAAATATTTCAATCAATCATCATCATGACCATCAATTTTTACTTCTGCCATTAAGAGTTGTGGGGAAGGAATGGTTTGCGATCCATTGCTTGATGGGCGGCAATGGCTATTGTCATTCCCTGTCGATGTAGATCTGGTAATCTGGTAATCCTAGTTAGCTTCATAGCAAACGTGTCACCCCAGTTGCTCCGCTCCTGTGCCAATGAAAAACACACATAGCTCACAGTGTCTCGATGTAGAGGTTTTTTAATGTCATCAATTTATCTTCTCCGAAGGTGGCCTCTGCTTTCATTTCATATTTTTTTCATATAGCACCTGCATTGGTAATCATTCTGGCTACATGCTTACTATATGACCAAACCATTTTATCTTCTGTTTCTCAATGACTTTCTGGCTGCATGCTATTGTTCCTACAGTCTGTCTGATAATATTATTTCTAACTTTGTGTCATATGCTTAAGTTGGTGTATTTTTTTGGGTGCAAATTACTAATGGGACCAAAAATAACCGACTGCCTGTTTCTTTTCTTGGTGATAGGCTGCCATTTGTTTTAGTCCATTTCAAAACATTTAGACCTGTTATTTGTCTTGCTAAGGTATTTTATAAGGTGTAAAAGAATCTCTCTTTGGATTCAGAGAATATTTCTGCACATCTGCCAACTGTTCTAACATTTCCAGATATGTGTTTAATTTGTTGAATGTAACATGCAAGAAGTCAATTTCTAGCATTCAATGACAGGCACTTGTTGAACATATTGTTTTCTTTTATTTTGGTGCCATTCACCCTCATTTAATTTTAATCTGTTCATCTTTATACTTGAATTGTTGTACTTGCACCAAGTGAAAATCTGCTGACGCTGTCTGATCAGTCTCTTTGACATTTACATTACTTCTTTCTTCTTATAATGAATTCTGTCTCTTTTAACCTTTTTAACCATATCAAGCATTCACCGTAATCCTTGTACTACTATGATACTTTAAACAAAAATTTAAAAATTTAAAAAGCTTACACCAAAACGTTGACCATCACTGGATCTTTGAACAATGGTGTCTGGACTGAGCTTGTAGGCAATGTCAATGGTTGTAGATCCTGCATTCTCACATTTGCTTAATCTTGAAACAAAAGAATAAATGATAGTTATGAATAAGAAAGAGAAAAAATTAAAAAAAAAAAGTATTATGAATCAGACCAGGACACATAATGAACTACAATTTGCATGCACTAGAATTTGTACTGTCATCTGCACTCTTCTGCTGCTCTTTTCGATTTTAAAATGCTGAAGATTTCTACCATACGCACTATGGAAATTGATTATCCAGGGTTCTTCATTATCTGAGAGGGTTAGACTTCCTGTCCACTACTCAAGGACAAGATGGAAACATCTCTCTATTTGTGTAATTGTAAAAATCCGCAAAGTAAATGCTGACCCCAAAGTAGATGATGCATTGTTTGATCTACACAGCTTTACATTTATTACAACACCATATTTGGTAATGCTACCAGGTAGCAAAGATATCTTTCTGGAATATGTGAACTCGATAAAATCAACAATAAAACTCATCAATAAAATATGTGTGTGTGTGTGTGTGTGCGCGTGCGTGCGTGCATGTGTGCGTGTGTGTGTATGTGTGCGCGTGTGTGTGTGTGTGTGTGTGTGTGTTTGTGTGTGAATGACTGGATATTTTACGCATCACCATCACCTTCACTTGTCTTCATCTCAGTGTTGAAGGTCAACTGCCATGAATCTGCAAGACTCTCTATCCTGGCTATACCATTTATACTCTTACAGTTCTGCTTCTACACTCCCAAAAGTCATCATCATAATTAAGTGCTTTGCAGCCTGGCATGGGCGATCATGCCTCTCCACAACCTACGATTTGCAACTGCAGGTATCAATTTGTGTTTAGACACCCCTACATGCAATGACAAAAGGCTGCCAAGAATATTCTCATACTGTCTTCCTGTCTTTCCAACCCTAGATCTGACCAGTGTTCATGACATATTTAAAAAAAAAAACTTTTGCTTTTGGGTATTATGTCTAAATTCCCATCCATCGCAAAACATAATTTCAAAGTTTTGAAAGAAACATAATGAAAATAACAGATTTTTAACAAATATCCTTAACAATTTAACCAATTCAGAAAACCTTAATATGAAAGTGTTGACACAATAACTTAAACACAAAAACATTACCAAGAAATGACAACTCAATATGAGAGGATTTTCTCTACCAAATGTGTGGACACCCATATTCATTAAGTCATAAAGTACTTTAATAATAACCTTAAAAAAAAAAGAAGAGATGACTCACATAAAAAAATATTGACACATTGTGGATAACAACTCACATCAAATTCAGTTATTCAAACAATCATTATAGGGTATGATAATGAAATCTGACACTGTAAAATTGTATTGAAATGGTATACATTGAAACACATTTGTTACAAGAAAAACAGATGACAAGATTTATTATTAAAAAAAAAAGAAAGTTTTAAATGATCTCAAAGTCATTAAAGAAAGATTATAAAACAGAAAAGTTAGTTGCATTTACTTTACAGGACATTGCAGAACCAGTCCCAGCATTTTTTGGCTGTTGTGGTTTTGCTAGGCAAATTTACATCCAGTAGTTTGCCATTGCTTTCTTTACGGTCGGCTTATTGATACCACTGTTGAAACCAATGCAAGGCCCGCAGCTCGGATCGAACCCGACACCCCAGCATTACGAAAAGAGTTTACAACATCTAAGCCACAGACGCCGACTTACTTGACGACATCATTCCTCTCTCTGATGGCAATACCACAGATGCTGACTATAAAACAAAGGTCTTCAGTAAAAACTTACTTGACGACATCATTCCTCTCTCTGACGGCAATACCACAAATGCAAGCCACACTTCCTCCACCACATGGAACAGTTCGGATCTGGATCATGAAATCTCTGGCTGGAGCTTCATATGCAACAAAGTCTCCACTCTTGTACAAGTCATACATGAACCTGACATAGCAACAATATACCACTTTAGAATGTATAATGTACACAGAATACACAGGCAAGTTTTAAAAAAAAAATGTACTAACAGCAGAGATGTGGTTTTTCAGAAGAATATAAAGAATATCGTGGAAGAATAGAAACACAAGCAAGACGGTCCTTGTCACAATGAATGAGAGTCATAAATTGATTAAAGCACTTAGACATAGACAGTCCTTGTTACAATGAATAAGAGTTATAAATTGATTAAAACACTTAGAGATAGACAGTACTTGTCACAATGAATGAAAGTCATAAATTGATTAAAACACTTAGACATAGACATTCTTTTCACAATGAAGGAAAGTCATAAATTGATTAAAGCACTTAGACATAGACATCCTTTTCACAATGAATGAAAGTCATAAATTGATTAAAGCACTTAGACATAGACAGTCCTTGTCACAATGAATGAAAGTCATAAATTGATTAAAGCACTTAGACATAGACAGTGCTTGTTACAATGAATGAAAGTCATAAATTGATTAAAGCACTTAGACATAGACAGTCAATATTTGTGGACATGCTGAGAAGGAATGGACTCAGGAACTAGGTAACAGCTGGCACATTTCAAGGAAAGACATGAAGTAAGGCAAGAACACTGTCCCAATCCATAATTCTGGTGATCATGTGAAATGGCAAAACATGACAGCCTACACTTATCGGCATGACACATAATGATGATGACGTACAGAGACAGCACACATGATGAAGCAAATTTGAAAAACTAGCCAAACTGGCAGAAAACTAGAATGAGGATGTATTTGATCTTTTACATGAGGTATCATGTCAACTCAGTCTCCAGTTTTGAAGCAATTCATCAATCAGACGCCATCTCCACAGTAAAGGTTGACGGTAATGGATCTCAAACATAATGTGTCTTTTGGCATGGATATAAATTTTATAAAACTGCTGTCCATCCCTTTCTTTATGTTGTCCTACCATTTGTTTCCATGTCTGCATGTTGCTAATCTGTCTTCAGCTTTTTCCTCCAGCATGTCTTTTATAAGCTTGTTTAATATGGCCAAAATATTTCACTTTTTAAAAATCTCCTTCAGTGACTCTTTATTCATTTCTAGTTTTCATAATCTCTTTATTTGATTGTTTTGTTTTTCTTCAAGAATGAAATATTCTTCAGTAATTTCACAATTACTAGTTTCCTATCCAACAGTCATGCATTTTATGTGATTGAAATATTTTCATTTCCTAGATATCCAATTTTTTTTTAACTCTTTGAGTCCCAAGGAACGCATCATACGTTCATAGATTCCTACTTAGAAGCCAAATGAACGTATGATGCGTCGATTTTACGTCTCTCTTGACTACCCCTTGGGCCTGTGATGCTAAATCCGCTGGGACGCAAGGAGTTAAGCTAATGCTTCTTTTTTTTTTTTTTTTTTTGGATCTTTTTAATTGTCAGTATTTTTATTAATCTATGTATTCTAAGAAACTGTTGAAGAATATTTTGAAAAAAAGAGAAGATTAAAATATAAAATAACCCTTGACCTGTTAAGGTCGTGGAGGTGTAATGATTGAAGCACTTATACATAAACCTGCCATCTTTCTGTCTTCCACTTGATAAAAAAGTGTATGATAACTGAGTCCTTTCCATTTCTTGATGTTGTCATTCAAGATTTTCTTTGCCTCCCTCTCCTTTCCATTTCTTGATGTTGTCATTCAAGGTTTTTCTTTGCCTCCCTCTTCTTCAACTACCCCCCAAAGTTCCTTGAAATACAGTCTTTGCAAACGAACCATGTCTCACCATATGCCCGAACCAAGCTATTTTTTATCATTTCACCACTGCCAAAAGAGGCTCCTGATGTCCTGCAAATTTGTATATTTTGTCTCTGACATATTTATTAATTTTGTGTTCAAAATAACTAATTCGTAAAATGTGTCTATAACATTGCCATTTGAAAGCCAGTAGAAGAATAAAAAGGAAAAAGCTAAAACAATGAAACAATAAAGTTGAGTTTTTATATATTACCTGAGAAGGATGAGTCATGTTTGATACTTACTTAAAATCAAATCCTGTGATGTGTGGATCTCCTGTCATGGAACACCGATAAGCTGTTTCATCTTTTATTGTTACCTGAGGAGTACATATTTCACCAGTGACATTCATGACAATGACTGAACAAACAATTATTTTTAATAATGATAAAAATGACCTTTTTGTCTGTTTCAGACCCTGAGAATGGTATCTTTAACATGTTTCTCCTTGAAACTGAAATAACAAGCTCTAAAGCATTCACAATATTAACAATAGCACAGAAAGACTCGCTGTAACACCTGGGGCAGACTGGATTAATATGACAAGTTCAAAGTAAAATATTATACACCTGAATGCTCACCTGAATGGATTTTGGTTTATAGTCTTCAAATATGCGTAGATAAGTTCCAGAATTTGATGATGGAATCACATCCAGTGCTAAAAGCACATTCCTGCTGCCTTGTAGCAAAATATTTCTTTTAGGCACAACTCCAATCTGGCAGGAAAAGTTACACATTTAATAAAAGTACATTATAAGGTATTCTGCTGAAAGTGGCTGTTGGTTGTACGGACACAAGAACTGGACAACTTTCTGTCTAGAGGATTGTTTATCAGCTCTTAGTCTATTAAAAACCACTTCAACTGGTAAAACCTCTACATCTAAATCCAACAGCTGCTATAAATATGGCAGCTGTGCTAGTGAACTGGTATTATATAAATACAACTTAGGAAGCAAGTAGACATGAGATCAAATCACCCCATCTTCATCATGGAGGAGGTCCTTTACAGAAAACATTGTTCCCATCACAGCCTGCCTGAAAGAAACATGGTTCCTCGCATTTCTTCCATCTCATGATGCACTTTCTCGCTTAAGGCCCATGTTTGTTATGGTCGGCCCTTGCCTTTCTCACCCAGTACAACACCTTTATTGTAAAATTTGTTCTTCCTGAAAGTATTTCCCATCAAAATATCAATTTCCGATAGTCAATTACTATAAAAACCTTACATTTATCTTGGTAGCATTGCCTCCAAATATTCTGAAATTCACTTTCCTCGTATTATGTTGTCTCCATAATTTAATAGCATATTCACTTTAAATGTTATTACTTCCAAGTTATGTTAGTAATACAGGCATATGGCCAGACCTACTAAGATTATTAGCAACAATTTCAAAGCATATTTTTCCCTAATGTCTTTTCAACGTATTCTTCTCCTTGCAGCAAATGGCTAAATCAAAGTTGTTTTTCTCTCATGTTTGCTTTAGATTTTTAGTCATAGATCTGAGGACAGATGACAAGTGAGATAGATGTTGGCACTGATATTGAAAGATCCTGATACTGAGAGAACCTTCTAAGAATTCATTCTGGTTGGGAGTGTCTCCATTTCTCAGCACAATACTGTTAGTAACACAGCAACATAAAATATTTTGTTCCATAATTACACATTGGTAACAAGGACATAATACTGAGAAGGCATTGTTTTTAAATCTGTGTACATTTATTTCAATAGCACAATAATAACCACTGCGCACTGATGAAAATATGATTTAAGAACAGATAAATGACAGTAACTGATTCATACAACAATGGTATTACCTGAATTGACGCTCTTTTTCAAATCAGGATCCCAGTCAGATGAACACATTTTGTACTCACAATAGTTCATAAGAGACACGGCTAGAAAATAAATACAACTATTAATTAAAAATTAAGTAATGGTAATTCCTAACTGTTGTTCATCAACTGCAACAGCCACATTCTGTAAATATTTAGACAATGGAGAAAAAGTCATTTGAGATAAGCAGCAACAATGCATATTCAAACAAATTTGAAAAAAAAAGAAAAAAAAGGCAAAAGCTTATAGCTGGAGGACTGAATGAATGAATTCTCCCCCTTGATAATTGTTTTAACAAATGAATGAGTCAGTGCACCTCACATACATAGAAAAATGGAAGCAGACTCATTTGATTTGCCAGCTGGGCAGATCTCGACATCAAAACTATTTCAGCTAAACTTAACTATTACTGAGCTTACTCAACTATTTATGTAAAAGCCTCTTATGAAATGGATTTAACCAATTTTTATGGCAAGGCAAGAAAACAATCTGTTCAGTGCAAACAGGATTTGAGAGACAAAAATAGCATCTGCATTACATTTTTCAGGCTGTTTACCAGATTTTTCTTTTACTGATATTAGATGTGTTGGGCCAAAAGGTACTTATATCACATGCTAGCTGTAAACCACAACACGGTGTATTGACTGCCCCTTCAAAGGTGAATAAAGGAAGTTTATATGACCTTAACCCCATGGTGTAGCCAGCCATAATCTACAGTATTGTCCGAATATGAATGTTATCATAAACGTTCTCAACCAACTCATTTCATTCCACCAAAAAATGTATGGGAATATCATGTGACCTGGATCTAACATGTGAGTCTGAAGCAAGTGAGAAAAACAAAGAAATAAGATATTCAACTAACATAAGATCAATTTATATTTGTTAATGTTATGAAAATAGTGTCTCTTCTGATATAAATATAAGAAAATTTAGCTTGGCCTGTATTTTATGTTTTCTTTATTTTATACTTCTCTTGTACAATTAAAACTAACACTTTTTACTATTTGTTCTGGTCACTCTACTATGTCATTATAAATGGTTGTCATGATTAGATATCTGGATACAAGATTGTTAACATAAATTTTAAATTTTAATGTTGTTCCCCTAACAACTTTTAAAATGTGTTTAAAAAAATGTGGCCACGTTCTCCTAATAAATAAAACATTAAATTTATGCCTTGAAGAATTAAATACTGAACATGATATTTATAATGTTTATGATTATGAACAAGTTTTAATGTTGGACCCATATTTTAATCCTTAGTAAGATTACATTTTTTTTTTCTGCTAGGATAAAAATAAAATCTAGCAGGCTATCCATGGTGACTTTACTAACCATACAGCCCTAAATCTTCAGACTCAAAGATCCAGCCACATACACTGCCAAAATGGTTGATACAGACACAAATTACAGTTTTTATTTATATTTTTTAAAATACAATTTTAACAAATGAAACTATCTATACATACATCAAGCATCCCCAACTCACCTGCTGTTTTATTAACATTTAATGTGAAAATCAAACAGCACTCAAGGTCATGGTCACAAAGTATAGGAATGGTTGAGGTCACTGTCATATTTTTCTCAAAATCAATTTCACTTATTTCAAGAGGGTCAGGGCTTATCTGCAACATAACAAATAAAACACAAACAAATTTAAATACAAAAAATGTGAGATCAACTTCAAAAAAATTATTTGAAAAAAAAAAACTTGACTAATTCTAAATGTGTGTCTTTATTAAACTTAATTCCATCTTGAAATTGAAGGCACAGTTTCAATTTGGGTAAGAGGATTTTTCCACAGTGTGTATGAATTGGCATCAGTCTGTCTCATATTATTTTTTAAAATAACTTTTTTCATATCCTAACATTTATTATTTATAGTAACAACTTTTTATTTTAAAACAAGATAAAATAAAGTATCCTTTGGACTGAAAGAGTTAAACAAATATTTGTGCAGAAACAATAAGTGTTCAGGAAAAACAGATTCACTATTTTAAACAACAACATAGTTAACAATAACTGCTTCATTACAATTTTACTTCTATTACTATATTTTTTCACTACAAATGTAAAGTTTACAAACCTGGATCCCAGCAAAGTAAGTATTGCTGTTGATAAACCTGGTCTTGACATCACTTCCTGGATACACAAGTCTGACTTGGCATCCAACCTGTCATTATGACATAGAAAACACAGAACTTTTCCAAGATATAATGTAGTTCAATAATCAGTAATAATGTTTCACAATGGAAATATCACAGACATAACTACTACTAATCTGAGATTTTAAAAAAAAATGCATCTTCCTAATTCTTAACCTTTCTCCTTCTCTTACTCCATCTTCTGTGTGTGATTCAACTGGAGATAAAAGATAGAAGAAGATGGGTGCAGAAGTACATAGAAATTTTTCCTAAGTATAGATACACCCAAATGATTGTTCTCCTTTTCTTTCTTCCATCATTCTTTTTTCCCCTCATTCTTCCTTCTCCTTCCTTCTTTTTTCCTCATCAATCTTCATCTTCTAACTATTTCTTCTATCTTTTTTTCTCCTTCCTTCTTTATCTTCCTTCCTCCTCCTCCTCCTCCTTCCCCTTCCTTCCTCCTCATGGCTATGAAAGACAGAAGAAGGGTGGCATATTGCCTGATACAACAGGTCTATTCCCAAGAATAAAGACACCTACATAATTCCTTTTCTTAAACCCCATCCTCTGAGCTGAGTTGAGTTGATTCAAGAACCTTTTTTTTTATACATGTGTGTTGTCCTTTTTTTGTGTGTGTTCCTGTTCATGTTTCCAGGCCCAGGATTAGAGTTACTTCCCTTGCCATTAATACCTCCTTAGGTTTCTGGACCTCTCCTATGTTGCAGGGGTGTTATGATATTGCTTGGTTTGATGTTAACTCAGCGTTTTAAATGTTTGTGGGAGGTTATGTTGTTGTGATACTATTTCAGGTGCCGAAGGCGCCAGTGTACAAGTAAGAAGTACTGTGGGGAAAAGCGCTGCAGGCTCAGCAATACTTGGCTATCGAAACTGGGCTGTGTATGTATTTCTACGTTCATTGCAGGTAGCATCCCCCCCCCCCCCAAAAGAAAGAAAGCAGTTACAAGGAGTATAGGAATAGAAAAATATCACTGCTTCTATATTCCCAAACCATTGCACAGGTAGCAGAACGTTAAAATATACGCGCAAGTGAGCGGTGAGAAGACGAGAAAAGAGGCAATGGTTAAACCATTCACAATAAGGAAAACATGACTTCCTGGTAACACAGGAGGGATCCAGCAACCTAAGGAGGCATAAATGGCAAGAGAAGTTACTCTACTCCTCAGCCTAAAAATGTGAACAGCACCCTTTAAAAAAAAATCTTTGACAGACAAATATTCCTGCCAATGTTGTAGGTTTTGTTTTTTGTAGTCGATTGTAAATTTATACAAGAAATAAACAGCATTAATATTCAAACTTACATGAGTACCCAGATGTCCCATTAACAGAGACCCATTCAGTTCAGCTGTTACATTATTTCCACTGATGACCTCAGGTGGTAAGGTCAGGTCTTGCTGACCATCGAACATCCAGGTTAGCTCAATTTCTTGAGAAGGGTTCTCACTGTGATATATTACATGACACAAGAAGGTAAATGATGTGTTGTCCAGTGACATGGGTCCAGTAAGCACAGGTGGTGTCTGAAACAAAAACAAACTCAGTGCTGAAGGAAAAGAAAATATGATCTAAAATTGCTCACTTACTATTGTATATAAATATATTATACTTAATGTCTAAATGAACTGCGGCGTCCGTGGCTAAGGTGTTGCGAGTCTGACTCGTAATCCAATGTACCGCGATCGAAACCTGTGTCGTATGGGGCGTCGCAGGTCGACCCAGCCTCAAATGGGTACCAGGATGGGCTGTCCTGGGAAGTAAAGACAGCGGGCGTAATGCTGACCACATTACCCACCAAGTGCTGATGGTCTGTAAAAATATGGGCGCTCTTCCCATATGCCCGATATGCCTTAAGGCATGGAAGGGATCTTTACTTTTTTTTTACTAAATGAACTACTAACAAACTATAAATATTTATTAACTAATTTCTGCACAGAACAGGAGTAGTAAGTAAGTAAAGTAAACATCCCCTTTTAACTCCCCTAGGTGTATAGGGCACATAGGGCTTAACCTATATTTTTATAGACCAACCAGCACAAGATGGGTGATGTGGTCAGCCTCACGCCAGCTGTCTTTACCTCCCGGGACTCCACCCGGTACCCACTCAAGGCTGGGTTGACCTGGGAGTCAAGATCATTTTTTAAAAAGGTCCAGCTCCGCCCAGGAGGAAACCCATGACCTTCTGATCTGCAAGCGAGCATCTAGCCGCTTCGCCGTGGTGACTCCCGACAGGAGTAGTTTTTTAACAAAATAACTGTGAAGTTTATGGAGAGAACTAGAAAGACTTTAATGGATCAAGAAACTAGTTTTTTTAAAAAAATCCATGTACTGGATAGGACACACTTTGAGGACCTGACAACACAAAACAAACAAGTGTTTTCTTAATCTCTTCTGGAACCCACACATCAGAAGAAATAAAGGCAGGCTTAAAATACATGAACAAGAAATTAGAGACAGGATAAAATACGGGGATGATGCTGAGTATGCTGCTGAAGGCTAGACAAATGTGTGGCTTGAAGTGAATGAGGATCTGTGCTCCAGTGGGTGGAACCCTAAACAAATATAAACCAAACAAGAAGTAAAGCTAGTTAGCTTCACATATTGCAATCTGCAATCATTAGCCTTCATGTCATCCAGTTGGAATGACTAGACTTGACCTCTGTAACCTTCATGTCATCCAGTGGAAATGAAAGGACTTGAGGAGTAACCTTCATGTCATCCTGCTGGAATGAGGTCACTTGAAGAATCTGTAATCTCAAAGGATGTCAACACATTGGAATGACACTACTTGTACTTCGCACGAACCTGTATTCCCAATATTTTGTATTGCTGACAAAAAATGGACTTTTGTTGATGACATGACTAGTCTTGTGTGTAGGATCTTCTTGGCAACCAACCTGAATGACAAAACAAGCAATCTGTAACCTTTCATTGATTATGCAGGATGACTAAAAATTGGGCTCTGTAACCTTCATTTTTTAATCAGCTTGGAATGGTAGCTTTTCCAACTGCAATATGTGATCTCTTTGGAATCCCTAGACTGTGACCTCTGTTACCCTATCATCCAGTTTAATGACTAGACTTGACCTCTGTAATATAATAAGGTATTTGTTATATACAAGTGTCAAACAATTGGGCTTTGTCTTTCATAAAGTATATTTATTGAAAACTGTAAACAACTTTTAAAAGTAAAACAAATGAGGTTAATTTGCTTAGATAAGATGGAGAAATAAATGAGGATAAATTTGCTCAGATAAGATAAAGAAATAAGTGAGGATAAATTTGCTCAGATAAGATAAAGAAATAAGTGAGGATAAATTTGCTCAGATAAGATAAAGAAATAAGTGAGGATAAATTTGCTCAGATGAGATAAAGAAATAAGCGATGATAAATTTGCTAAGATAAGATAAAGAAATAAGTGAGGATAAATGCAGGAACAAAAAAAGGGGTTCAGATAAGATAAAGAAATTATGAGGATACATTTGCTCAGCAATAAGATAAAGAAATAAGTGAGGATAAATTTGCTCAGATAAGATAAAGAAATAATTTAGGATAAATTTGCTCAGATAAGATAAAGAAAAAAGTGAGGATAAATTTGCTCAGATAAGATAGAGAAATAGGTGAGGATAAATTTGATCAGATAAGATAAATGAATAAGTGAGGATAAATTTGCTCAAATAAGATAAATGAATAAGTGAGGATTAATTTACTCAAATAAGATAAATGAATAAGTGAGGATAAATTTGCTCAGATAAGATAAATGAATAAGTGAGGATAAATTTGCTCAGATAAGATAAATAAATAAGTGAGGATAAATTTGCTCAGATAAGATAGAGAAATAAGTGAGGATAAATTTGCTCAGATAAGATAGAGAAATAAGTGAGGATAAATTTGCTTGGATAAGATAAAGAAATAAGTGAGGATAAATTTGCTCAGATAAGATAAATGAATAAGTGAGGATTAATTTACTCAGATAAGATAAATGAATAAGTGAGGATAAATTTGCTCAGATAAGATAGAGAAATAAGTGAGGATAAATTTGCTTGGATAAAATAAAGAAATAAGTGAGGATAAATTTGCTTGGATAAGATAAAGAAATAAGTGAGGATAAATTTGCTCAGATAAGATAAAGAAATAAGTGAGGGTAAATTTGCTCAGATAAGATAAAGAAATAATTTAGGATAAATTTGCTCAGATAAGATTAAAAAAAATAAGTGAGGATAAATTTGCTCAGATAAGATAAAGAAATAAATGAGGATACATTTGCTCAGATAAGATAAAGAAATAAGTGAGGATAAATTTGCTCAGATAAGATAAAGAAATAATTTAGGATAAATTTGCTCAGATAAGATAAAGAAAAAAGTGAGGATAAATTTGCTCAGATAAGATAGAGAAATAGGTGAGGATAAATTTGATCAGATAAGATAAATGAATAAGTGAGGATAAATTTGCTCAGATAAGATAAATGAATAAGTGAGGATTAATTTACTCAAATAAGATAAATGAATAAGTGAGGATAAATTTGCTCAGATAAGATAAATGAATAAGTGAGGATAAATTTGCTCAGATAAGATAAAGAAATAAGTGAGAATAAATTTGCTTAGATAAGATAAAGAAATAAGTGAGGATAAATTTGCTCAGATAAGATAGAGAAATAAGTGAGGATAAATTTGCTTGGATAAGATAAAGAAATAAGTGAGGATAAATTTGCTCAGATAAGATAAATGAATAAGTGAGGATTAATTTACTCAGATAAGAATAAATGAATAAGTGAGGATAAATTTGCTCAGATGGGGCCCCAAGATAGAGAAATAAGTGAGGATAAATTTGCTTGGATAAAAAACGAAATAAGTGAGGGTGGGATTGTCCTGAGTACAGGGATGTCATTTCTTAATTCATTCATTCATTCATTCATTCATTCATTCATTCATTCATTCATTCATTCATTCATTCATTCATTCATTCATTCATTCATTCATTCATTCATTCATTCATTCACTCATTTCCCAAACCAGGGCCTTGGAACCCAGTTGAGAGCAATGTTATACTGCCCCATGGAAGGAATAAAATGTACAAACAACTTACTTGTGTATCAACTAGACTATTCAACAAGCTGATGTCCAAACTGGCAATCCTTTCACTATCAAACAGCAGCTGAGATGGTACTGAAGGATGTGCCTGACCATTGAAAGTCCAGACAACTTCAAATACCTGATCTGGGTCATTACCATTGTAAATGACCTGGCATATGAAGTTAAAGCTTCCATTGGGTTGAATACTGGGTCCATTGAGCACAGGTGATTCGTTCAAAAGAGGAAAATGATCTGTTCAAAGTAATAAGAAAATGAAAAAAAAAATATCTGTATGTGTATTTGTCTCAAAAGCTGAAATATCCTGGCCATGGCAGATTGAAAAAAATTAATAGCAAAAGACAAGGTGTCAGGAAGGAGGGGCAGGGTCTGACCAGACTGAAGATGGGTAAGGATTTAAGTGACTTCTTGAATATGAAAGTGCATAGGGTGGGAGAACTGGTCAGAAAACGAGTTTCTTTCAGGCAGACTCATGATGAGAGTGACATTCTGCAAAGGATCTGCTGAATGATAATGAACATTTATCTTAAACACTTGAAGGAATAGGGATCCTTGCCTGCCAGCCTGAAGGTCTCATGCAGGTTTTTTAACTGTGTTAAGGTAGAGTTTAATTACTGGCTGTAGCTCTCACATTAGGCCAGCTTGTGGCTGAAATCAGATGTTTTGGGCCAGAAGGTGCAGATATTACAACCAAACTGAGTCATAAAACAACATCCCACCTGACTTTTTAAGTAGAAGAAGAAGAAGCCTAGCCTAAAATTGGTTCAAGGAAATGTTATGGGAAGTAAAGGTGGCTAGTGGATGATGATGATCTCAATCACCAAGTTTCATTTTGTCTTTAAAACAAAACAAAAAATATGTAACCAGAAACATTGGTCCAAAACAGTAATGACAGAAAGGGGGTCTTTACATTTTTTCAAATAAAATTTCCCAATTTTGGGCCCTCCTCATTCTCCTGTGGCCTGGGACCAATTTCACTATGATTTATTTTGCCTTAAGTGTGAAGGAAACTTGGGTGAAGTTAAATTATTGCATTTTTAATTTGCCAGTTTCAAGATTTTGCTGGGACTGACATGTTTTGCCCAAGTTTTCAAATGGGACAGTAAATAAACGGAAAAGTTATGAGCTGACTTGTTGGTAGTGGCTGGCATGTGTGCATGCATGTGTGTTTTTTTTTTTTTTCTTGTTCTTTGCCCACTTTTGTCCAAAGGATTAATAAAAAGCTTCATCAGAACTTTACACAATTAAGCTACCCCCCCCCCCCCCCCCCCCCCCCAAAATGTTAATGGCAAATGTATTTAAATTTTATGAAATGGGAACTTAAAGCTTTGTCTGGCTGTTTAAAATAGCTTTTAATTTATATTCCAGACCATATTTGTATTCCAGACCATTATGATAGTCCTGTGTAAAATACATTGGCTCTAATTATGGTCTGTCACAAAGACTTTCAATCTTTCAATTGTTCTTTACTTCATATATTTTTAATTTTAGTGAGCCTTTAATATCTAATTTCTACCATCAAATTTTACATGGCCAAAACATTTTAATGTGCAATGAAAATTATTCTTTCAAAAATGAAACATTTTAGAGATTAAATATTGCTGAATGAATGTTAGACTCACCTTCTCTCTGCATGTTGTCAGGTCACAGTCCAGACAGGTGCCATCAAAGACTCTAAATGTTAGTTCATTGCCAAATAGGCTTCCATTTTTGGTTGCAGAAATGTTGTATAACTGAGAAGAATTACCTTTAATAAACAATAAATTAGTCCAGCTTTAAAGTGGGTACAGGAAATCTTCGAAATAAAGTTTATCAACATGATTATGGCCATATCTCTGACTGTCAATTGGTTTATAAAGGATATGTAGCTAATGACGTATGCCATATGTGCTTCAAAGTGCAGAAATAGGTAATGTAACTCTTTGAGTCCCAGAGGGTTTAGCATCACAGGCCCCAGGGGTAGTCAAGAGAGACTAAAACTGGTGCATCATGCATTCACTGGGCTTCAAGACAGTAAAATATGAACGTATGATGCGTTCCTTGGGAGTTAAAGAGTTAAGTTTATTTACTTTAACTTTTATGTTTAGAAAAGAGGAATTATTTTAACACACAATTATTTTAAAAGCACCAGTAAATCATTTACACAAATTTTTTTTTTTATTATACAGTGTAATTGAATGTAAAATATAAATTACATTGTTGGACAAATCTTCCCTACTTGACTAATTCAAACTAAGCAAATGCAACATCAGTATATCAGTATAATAATGAATGGTTCTGGAATGTTCCAATAATTTTTAAATAATTGATTGTCAGATCTATTTTTAAAAAAAATATGTCACTTACCAAGAGGAGGTAATTTGCAAGTGATAATTGTTGGGGTTAGAAATGCTGCTGTTGCCAAAATTGTATCACCAACACTATCATCTTGTTCCTATAGGAGACAATTCTTGGTCAGCAAAATATCATTTAATACGCTCTTCAGTGAACAAATAATAGAAAAACTGATTTTATAAAACAGAACTTCACATTATAGAGTAAGACAACCGACCCAAAAAACACACACATAAAGATAAGGAAAAAAAACCACCATTTCATCATACAGCAGAATTGAACAAAACCTTTTCTATGTATTATTCACCTTATACAAATGATATTATCTCAGGCAAGTGTCAATAACACACAAAAAGAAAAACCAACAGATAAGTTAGTAGAGAAGGTAAAACTGCAGAGAAGGAATAAGAATGATAGTAAAATGGTGGTGAACACAAACCTCAGTACAAAATGTTGTAATCATCTTTACAGCTGAGAGGATTGAGTTTATCGTACCAGGTTTGATCCTACTCATCTCTCTCTCCACAGAGCTGATGAATGTATTGTAAAGAACTACTTCCTCTTTTTCCCGTTCAAGGGTTGTAAACTCTGGCTTTTGAGTGTACCAGGTTTGATCCTACTCATCTCTTTCTCCACAGAGCTGAAGTGTGCATTGTAAAGAACTACTTCCTATTTTTCTCACTCAAGGGCTGTAAACTCTGGCTTTTGATTATTCATCCACTTCTGGACTTAAGTCTTGTTCCAGAGCTTCAGTTGTTCATTTCACAGATCTGGCTTATTTGTATGCAGAGTCCCTGTGTGGGTCCCGGGGCCCCATTGTGGAAAAAAACAAAACAAGAATAGACCCCCTGCCTGCCCAAAAGCATGTCGTAAGGAGTAGATTAACCGGGAGCTTTTTTCAAAGTTGGAATACATTAGCCTCAGAGGCAAAGAGTCAACAACCTGCATATACATAAGCCAGATCTGTAAAATGGATGTGAATGCAACACTCAGGTTCTGGAACAGAACTAGTGTTTAGAAGTGAATGAACTATCTACAAGATTTTACAGCTGGTGAACCTGTAGATGAAGAAGATTGCTGACTGTTGGCTCTTTCTCTCAGGCAGATGCACTCAGACTTTGAAGGAATCATCCCCAATTAGTCGACTTTTACGACATACATGTTAAAGGCACAGTGGGTCTGTTCTTTTTACCCCCAGTATTGGTCCTTGAAGCTCACACATGAAAGTCTATCAAGAACATCATACAAGGCATGAACTTCACAGCTCCAGTGATGACCAGTGATCTCCAGAAAAATGTGTAATCAGGAATCAGTTGACACAGTCCAAAATGTGATAAAGACTTTCAGATCTGAAGCCAATTGCTTGCTCATTTCGCCATGTCTACCTCCAGCAGACCATAGCTTAAGCTCAGAATGTGACAACTTCTGATATACTGTAAATAAGGAAACTAGCTTTTCTGGCAGGAAAAGATGGTAAAATGGAAGAGTTAATTAGGAACTTACATCCACTGTCTGTACCCTGTATGTTAGTGGCTCTAAGAAGTTGATATTGGCAACATCAACATTGATTGTATCACATCTTCTCTGTGTGACATCACATACAGCGCCACTGTGGATTAAACACATATATGTATATAGTTAACAAGTAATTCACCTGCACTATTTCTATCTCAGAAAGATTTTGCTACAACACTTTCTAACTTAAATTGCTGTACCTCAACAGGCTAGACCCCTGCCTTCCAGTCCAAATTTTATAAGTTTTAACTGACATCGAGCTGGATTTTTTCCCAATTGATCTTGGCTCACAGGTCGACTCAGCTTAAAATGGCTGCCAACAAAAGTGCTCAGAAGTATTGGTGGCCAGTTTGATTTTGTCCGCCGATGGTGTGCTGACTTCTTTTTCTTTTGTCATCTCACTGATACCAGGTTGTAGCCCAGTGTTGTGGTTTTCTGTATTGTCTTATGCTTCTCTGGTGGCTTGAGTGATGGATTTTGCAGGTTTCGGCTACATTATTTATGTCTTGGTCTTCCTCTCACCTTCCTCCCAGATGTTCTGACTGGTCTGTACAAATTAGCATTTATCACCATGTTCCATTAGAATGTCTTTATCCGCTGACTGACTGCAGGTGACACCTGGCTTGTGTAGTTGTTACAGATGCCCTCATTACAACTTCTTTGAAGGTTGAATAGGGTAACTGGGATCTGCATTGTCATGGTATAGCCAACAATTTTTAGCAGTGTAGAGGGGACAAGCTGTTTAATTGGTCCACCAAATGTATCTCCCAATAATTAAAGGTCCTCCTTTACTTACAGTTTTAGTTAGGGGACGGGGGTTAATTGGTCTCCACCGTGTTCCGTGTTAGGGGGGATGCTGCGTCCTCGTAGGTTAAAGGCGTGCGTGGTCTTGTTTAGGGGGGGAGGGGGGGCTGCGTGGTCTCGTGTTAGGTGGGGGCGCTGCGTGGTCTTTTGTTAGCGGGGGGCGCTGCGTGGTCTCGGGGGGGGGGGGGGGCGCTGGGTGGTCTCGAGGCATGGTGTCCGTCTCGAGTGCTAAAGGTTCCAGGTTCAATCTCTGATAAAAGCTGGATTTTTTCAACACGGACTTGAACTTCTAGTAATTTCCCCTGGTCTCTGGGGAGTGAAATCGGATGCCCGTGTGCACTGTTGCACATGTAAAAACTTCCTTGGCAGTTGGAAATCGAAAAGAATAGCCTAGCCCGCGCAAAATTTGGAGTGAAAAATTTACCAAAAATAGTTCAGGATCCTCGCTGGTGCTACAGTACCTGTGCACTGTGGTGAGCTTCTTCAGACGCAGACTTGTAACAGACTCACAAAGCATCATGAGAAAGATAGTGAATGCATGCTCCTTGCAGAAGGGCTAGCATCTCTTCCAAGGTCTTGAG